TCTCCATTATTAATTGAAAAATGGATGGAGCTGTTTTAATTCCATACGGCATTCGGTTATACGCAAATAAACCCAAGTGTGTACTTATGGTTGATAACGATTTGGCCTGTTCGCTTAATAAAATTTGTTGATAAGCCGAACTTAAATCAATTTTGGTAAAATATTTACCACCCGCTAATTTGGAAAATAAGTCCTCGATTCTGGGTAGAGGGTAGCTCACATTTTTCAAATATGGATTTAGTGTGATTTTATAATCACCACATATTCGGACAGATCCATCTCTCTTCAATACCGGGACGATAGGTGTTCCCCATTCGCTCATGACTATTGGAGATAGGACGTTTTCAGACACTAGCCTATTAATTTCGCGTTCCACCTTTTCTTTTAACGAGAAGGGAAGTGGACGGGGTTTAAAAAATTTGGGTTCAGTCCCTATTTTAAGTTTTAAATCGACCACTGCTTCCGTAAAAGTGCCTAATTTATTATTAAATACTTGAGGGTATTTATAAATTAGTTTCTCCACGTCGCCGCCAAATAGGTTCACATTATTAATTACTTTAAAATTTTGCTGATTTTTACAAAACCAATCACGTCCCAAAATTGGTGGTCCACCATATTTAATTACAAAAATATTTATTGGATGCCTATTGTTTGAGCATGTGATTGTCATTGACGCGACACCTAGTGGAGTAATAATTTCACCACTGTAACCTTTTAATTTAATTTCCGTTCTTTTATAACGTGAGGTTAGTTCGGCGCTGTAAAACTCAAACCCCGCCGCATAAACGGCCAGCTAGCTCAGATTCTTAATTAAAAGAAGGGCTCGAGATGAGAATCTTCCACAGCGGTTTGTTCGTTTGGGCATATAACATAAGTTTTTGATCTTTGGTAGTCACTAGAAATAATTAGTTGAGCGCCACCCAATTTTGCACAAATTCTGACCTCTCCTGTATAGAAATTGGGAAACCACAAGAGAGCCAAATAATAAATTCACTACGAGCAATTCTGATTTATTAATCCTGGCAAAAACGGTGCAGGATCGGCAAATAAAATGTATCTTCAATACGACAATAACAAATACTTAAATGACAAAAATAATCCCCAAATAAATTCATGAACACTTCCCTAATAATTACGTTACCAGACCCCTACAACAATGATCGAGCAAAAATGTAGTTAAGATTTCAATGGATTCAAAGATTGAATTAAGTTAACCCGAATAACAACTCATATAGGCAACACTGGGTACAAGTAAATTAAAAATCTTACCTTGAATCACACATACGCTGTCTTCTCCGAAAAAGAGCTCTCCTTCGAAGTTCCAGTTCTGTAACACAAAAACAAACCCCAAGCTACAACGCTCGGAACGATTATATGAGCCAGAAGGGCCAAAAAAAAAAGCTTACTCGTAGCCGGCTCGTTTACCCATACGTTAAATACAGGTGCGTTGCTCTTGAAGAGAGTCACGACCTCAAACACTTGATGCGAACAAAATACAAAGCTCCGATCATAAATCGTCGGAAGGTTACACTAGATTAACGGTACTATTAAAGCAAATAAAAAAAAAAGGTTGTGTAAAAGATCGTATCTTCCGAAAATTCCACCATCAGCTGGTCGCTCCCGGTATCGTTTAGGTGTTAGCGCTTATCTACTCGGTGGTACGCCGGATAGCTGCCGGCAATCAGGTGTTCGTACTCCGGAATATTCGCAAGATGCAAATTCATTTACATACAAGGATTCGTCTGTACAAGGATTGGTCTACTACATGGATTGATCGGTACAAGAATTCATCTACTACATGGATTGATCGGTACAAGTCTACTACATGGATTGATCTACTACATGGATTGATCTACTACATGGATTGATCTACTACATGGATTGATCTACTACATGGACCCCCTAAAAGTAATGAAGATGTAAAACTCCCTAACGAGATTTTTAATAACATACCTGAAATCGTCAGGAGGGTAATGAAAAATACTTAAATCAATGAAATATGGAAATTATCCAAGAGGTTGTGAATCTGAAAGAATTTTAGATAACATAACGTAAAAGAAAACCAACGCCATTTCACTTACATGTAGGTAGGGCGATGAACTTCAACCAGATATAGCCTCACAATGGAGAAAACGGCTTCTGAGTTACTCTCTCGACAACGCCAATAAACAGGTAAAATTGCCAGAGATTTTACGTGAATGATGGCAAATATTACCCACTGGTTTTAGAAGAATTCACAATGCCACGCTCTACAAGTACAACCTCGTTGGCTTTAAAACGGAAATGAAGTGAAAAAATTACGCGATTCTGCGCGAGGAAAGAAGCACGCGTACAAGTGACGCCATCTCACCTATATCCTGCCTAACGTAGCAAGCGGTAATTTTGAAATTTGAATACGGATAAACTAAACTGTTACACCCCCCCTCTCCTTCGACAGGAGGGAAACTACAAGTTTTCCGACGATCGAAAAACCCAGCACACACACTCGAAAAGGAAGCAAACAAATTGAAAACCCGAAAACCCACCCCAGTGTAAAAAAAACTCCCCCCCAAAGAATTTCACCTTCAAAGAATTTTCCCAGGTTCTCCAGCAGCGGAAAAGGTATGCAAAATCGGGTATTGACATGCCCTCGCGTAAAGATGGAATCTCGCGCCGTCGGGTATCATGACAATAGCAACCCCTTTCCCACAACCCCAATCCAACTACTAGTCACCCCCAAGAAAACCAAATCCAGTGCCCACCCAGAAGAAAGAAACCCTACAGTTTCAAGTGATGCAGCACCAAAATCCCCAAAATAAAGAAACCCCCCTCCCTGACTAAAAACGACACAAAAGCCCAAATTTTGACCCCCTTGCCGAAAAAGTGTAGAAGGAAACCCCCAAAAAGAAGGTACCTTTCCAACCCAACTCCACCATGCACTAGCGCAATGAAATGAAGAAGGTGCTATGGATAGAAGACAGTAAGAGAGAAAGAAGAAATCACATTTGCGGAGAAAAAAACTCATTCATGCCGATTCCAGGGGTCCCATGGTCACCGAGGCTCGCACAGGGAAGGCGCACCCACCCCCTTCCTCTTGTGTGTCAACTACCCATCCATTCAAACCATTCATTCTATGGAACGGAAATGGAAGAAAGAAGAGTAGAAAAAGATAGAATATAGGAAAGCGAAAAGAAAAGGGCAACCTCTCCCAAATTTCCCCTGAGGAAATTAGAAGAAGAAAAGTGTTTGAGGTGCAGATAGAAAAAGAAAGAAGGAGGATAATGGATCGGGACGAATCCCCTAGCAGGTGTTGTTGCTACGATCCGAGAGTCCATCCCCTGTGCCCAACCAAACCACCCAAAGAGTAAGAAGAAGAAGAAATATGGAACATATAACATATAAATACATATATCAAAGTCAAATCCAAGAATAAGAATACGTCAAAATTAGTGGTTCAAAATCGTCAACAAACAAGCAATCCGGCGACAATAAATGTCTAACCATGATCATCGGGTTCAATATAAGGTTTGAGATCCTGGACGTGCCACGTTCCAGAAGATTTACCATTAGAATCTTTCAACTCATAGGTCAAATACCCCATTTTACGGCTAACCGTAAATGGTCCTAAAAATCTGGGAGCTAACTTCGCTGAATAATCTTTAGTGGCATCAGACAAAGTCTTATTTTTACGCCAAACCAAATCTCCTATCTCATAGTTAACATGCCTACGTCGTAAGTCATAATGTTGCTTGTTGCGGTCATGACTGTCTTTAATGCGTGCAATAATTTTGTCGTACAGTCCTTGCTGTTGCGCTAACCGTTGTTCTACGTCAATCGGCTCATTGTCCGTCATGTCAGTGTCGAAGCTGTCCCCTCGAATACGAAATTCTTTCCCAAAATTAGCACGATAGGGAGTCACACC